AAACAAACAAAAGTACTTTTTGAGTGAGTTACCGAGCGAGGATGAATGTTCCGGTGGGATGGTGTGGTCTGTTCTTCCACACACCCCCGGTTCAACCTGGTACGAGATCGTGATCATGATCGAGTGTACGTCATAGACACGAATGAACGAACGTGGCGGTAATTGACCACTGTCGATCGGGCAAGGAAGCGAATCACGTCAAAACGGATCGATAAATCGGTCACCATGCCCAGACGTGAATGTTGGCATGAATCAGTGCATGAATGAATTCAGCCTAGGCCCTCGATATCTTAGTGAGTAAATTCCGTTGGGGGCCGTGATTCCCTCAACTAACACCGATTCCTTTGAATCAAATGCGATTGCTTATGTATTTTTGAGATTGAAAGGCACGCTTGACAAAATACTAAATAGTGACACAAGGATACAGTGAAAGAATCAGCAGTATTCCATCTTGTATATTAAAATGAAATTGGAACCTATTCACTAACTAACAGAAATCACATTTTTCCCAGTCATACCCCGACTGACTGTTACATTCCATCCACACCGTGCCAGTGGCAACAACCTCTTACTTACAGCTTCTCCCTTCGCTGTTAGGCTTCATAGCATAGGTTCCTATCCTTATTGTATCATTGATCGACCCATTACGATTTTTCATGTCCTGATTACATCCGTTCGATCCGGATAAATGAGTGAATGAGACAAATGGTGATAAGAATGCGTTACAATTGTCCATTACCCCACAGACTATGTACTGAGAGCTCCATGGGGTATTAAGCACGATCATGGCTGGTACGATTACCNTGAGATCAAATAAGTTGGACAGATTGCTCATCTCAATATAAGAAAACGTGGTTTCCTTAGCTGAATGAACAATCCAACTTATTTGGTCGTGCTTTACGAAGATCTGGTGATCCAATCTAATAACTGCTAGTCAAGAATGAATAAAATAGGTGTGAAACTGTAAGAAAAAGACAGTACATGAGGAAAGGAAGAGAATGTAAAAGATGTCACACAGAAATATGGGGCAATCAATCTTATGACCATGGTAACAGCTAAGTTTCCACTTTGTTCTAACTGATATGATACAGTACCGAATGATCTGTTCATGCCATACCCGGTGATTCACTAGGCTGGAGANNACACACTTTCTGAATTGTCTGTGTATGTGGTACGAAAAGCCAACCGCTCTGTTTCAACCTTTCGTTGTTCACTACTTGGGAATAAAATTGTCATGGGAAAATAAAATAAAAGAAAAACACAGATTGTTAGAAACGATTTCATCGTGAGACCGGAAGTCGGGTTCACCACGATCACATGTTTGTTTGTCCACTCATCCGATCATCGAGGTTACTCACGATGCGGTTTGTATGGATTTGGTTGGGTTGACCAGGAAAGCTTTAGCTTTAAACCATAGTTTTATATTTCTCTCCCTTTTGATATATGTAGCATCTTGAGTTAGTTTGTACACGAATGGTGGGTGTCGTTCCCCAAAGTTTATTCCACCACAAATGTTTCAGATCCCTTGGCGAAAGAAATTTGTAAAAAATATGTATATTTGATTAAAATGAACACGTAGTTGTAGTTGTGTGAAGAAGGCAAAACACTCAGGATAATCTACGGAAATCATACGATCAATCGATCGTAGTAATGAATTGATGGAGTGGGTGACTGGTTGGGACCTGGGGAGGGAAGAATGCATAAATTCACAGATACATTTACACACAAGAGAGGGTATCGTGAGTAGTTTACTCAAAACAGTGGTCTGCCAAACTGACACATTGTCTGTACGCATTGGCCAATTTATCTTTTAGACTTGGTGATTAATGCACTCAGACTCTACGAAGGCTTGTTACTGTTTCTGCCCTCCACGTTCGGACGATGAATCCCCAATAATGCCAAACCCAGCTCGGTAGGGGTTCCACCACTGAACGATGGTCTTTTAAGGCGCACTGAGCTGGATCGTCGACATGACTTGTTGACCGACTTTATCTGCATTTCGGATTCCCGGCTCGGGCCCGGGTTCCTCGGATCACGCAAATGCGTTGAACTGACGGAGCACGTGTCCGAATGCAAACGTGAACGCAACGGGACCAGACAGGGCAGGGCTACGGTGCTCAGGGAGGAGAGGACAGATTTGTTCAGTTTTCCCGGTCCCATTCGATCTGTGGACACGTGTTCCGGATGGAAACAGTCCAAGTGAATCGCGCTGATAGCGGATTTCATGCTAGTTGGACGTTTAGACCAGAGCTCATCCTTGCACAGTGTCCAGCTGCTTCGACGTTTCTAATTGGGATGAAAGGTGGAAGGAACAGGGACCATTTAGTGAGGTGCACGGATAATGTGAAAAAGTGTTCACTGATGAGGATAAACAAAACAAACGAAACACCGTAAATGACAGCAGCAACTATCCGCTCTCAACTCACAACTTGGTCCGGAAAACAAATGAGATAGATTCGAACAGCACGAGTGCCGAATGAAAAAAAAACATTTGTCTAACTGAATGTCCGAAATCCATCACATGAATAGCGAAGCAATCGATGAGGAGGAAATAAAAAAGATTCCTCTTATTTTGAAATGTTTTAATGTGCAGCACCGCTGGGAGATGTTGAGCATTGTTTTGAATGCAAATCTGCTCAAAGTCATCAATCAATCAACGTGATTTGTATTATGCTAAATATCAATCAAAAATATACTTAGGTAGAGGTATATCTCTGGTGCATGCTTGTTCAGAACTAATTTATCTTATAGTCTGGGTAATACTGTTGGGGTTGAACTGTTGGGTAAATAAATCACTAGTTTATAGTATTTTTGTAGTACTAGTAGTGTTATAATTCCAGAAGGCGGTGCCNGAAGGGGACTCCCACACGCACATAGGATAGTTGGTGAAACAGCCTACTATTAGATACGCATTCTTCTATTCACCAAACCGAACATCAGCGATTCGCTCCAACAGGTCTGGTTCGTTTTTTTTACCTTTGAAACAAACCGCCAATCGTATCATTTTGTGAATTACTCACAAATGAGTAGTATCTCACAACAGTAGTGGTATTTTGTTGTACACACAAAGTGATCTACAGCGACAGGGACAAACCCCGCAGTCAATCGCATACTGTAAATGAACAGGGGGATATTCAAGTGAGAATAAATCTGTTAATTCTGGAACACCAGATCGACGGAGACACGGAGTTTCGAATTGTCCACAAGTCACGAATAGCTAGATTGCTAAGGTTTGCAAGAGCGATTGCTATCAATCGATGGAAGCCCCCCGCCCCATGTGTCAACAACAAAGATAACTTTATGCGAGTATCTCCCTACCCTGGTGATATGCTTCTTTTTCCCCCTCATCCTCTATTATTTTCTTTTCTGTTTTCTGGTATTTTACTTTGTTCCTATGTTGCCATACTAAATCCGCAAATAAACCGTGCGTTTTCTGCGGTGCAGGCAACATGTTCAGACGCAGCGAGATCGTGCTGGACATAAATCATATCGTATTGCAATATGATCTTTTCTTTAGAAATTGATTTCTGCAAAGAGTTACATCGATCCCATTTTTGAAAAGAGCAAGAATATAACGGCTTGAAAACATAGAGATGGGGAGAGTGCTCCACAATTTCACAGTCCCAGGGGAAAACTAAGACTGCAAGATTGATGATGTTCGACATCTGATGAAGGTGACCGCCCACCTGAGCGGGAGATGGACGAGCGAAGGTCAATGGAAGGGGAACCGTTGAAGCGAGTTCGGAAGAGCACAAACCAAAATAGAAGGGATAGAAAAGAGATAATGAAGAGATAACTGTCCGGCGATGGGAAAACGACTGCAGGTTGGAAGTTAAAAACAATTCTTTAAACCTGATCGAGGAGAGAAAGAGCGGAATACGAAGCGCCACTCCACTCCATACTGGACTGCAGTATTCGAGTTTCAGGTGGATTAGAGCTTGTATGGTACGGGAAGCTGCTTGGGTATAAAGGAACACTTTGCACGAAATACAAAACCAACTTTGCGCTCATCGCGAGAGGCGAGTGTGGAAATTAAAGGGGACCGAAAAATAGATGAATTTATGGATAAACCCAGAAGGGAGAGAGAATTTGTGAAACGAAAGGAAGCTAGTCAAAAATCCACTGGGAAGAATAAGGGACATGTCTAAGAGAGATGGAGAGCAGAGATGTTTGGGAAGCATCGAAGCGTACAGGGTTGGTAGAACTCCATGCGGAGATCGAAGACAAGAGAAGCACAAATGACATTATGATCGTGATCGATAATGATAGTGGTTTGATGGATTGAGGGATAGGAAAGAGCACAATGAAGAGTGGTATCATCGGCAAAGCAACGAGTGGGATTAGGAGTTTTGGACAAAAGATCGTTGATAAATTAAATACAATACGGAACCTTGGGGAACACCAACATTCCCAATAAATGGCCGAGATAGGATCCCATCGACTCGGACGGAGGAATCGAGTGCAGATGACCAGCATACGATGTGAGCATTAGTAAGTAGATCAACCACGGCAAAATCCATATTACCAGCCATTCAAAAAACCATCGCATCCGACAACTGCACGCA